CTACCCCTGCCTGTGTGCTCCTCTGTTCATGAACAAACACCCCCGTAGACACCAGAAATCTGGGGTGGGGGAGCTCTGCCAGCGCCAGGGACCAGCAGCAGTGGCAGTGCCTGTGGACGCCTTTCAGACACCTTTGGGGTCACCCTTTCCACAGCACCCCTGGCCTCCCAGCTGGTGGCCCTGTTCCTGTTCACTTGGCCTCCCACCCCTTGCAGAACTTGTCTGGACATTCATGATGCCTTCCAGGCAGGACCTGGTTAAAAGGTTCTGGAAACAAAGTCACCATGCCTGTGACATACACCTGGGGACCCAGTTCCCACTGGCCCTAGAAAGGATGAGGACGGGCAGAACCCACAGGCTGGAGTGTGGAGTGCCTGGCTTGCTGTGCCACGTGGCTGGTCAGATGGTGCCCAGAGCTGTGCAGCGCTCAGGACCTGGGTCGGGGTGTCCACTGCAGGGAGCCATCCTTGCAGCACCAAAGGCACCAGAACTTGCACCTGCAGGTGGCCTGGCCCCAGCAGCAATTCGTTTTTTTGTCTCAGCAACCAGCTGAGGGCTCCCAGCTGCTGAGAGAGCTGGAGGGGCACCCTGCCAGCCTGGGGCTGGGGGACATCCCCACCTGGTCACTTGGGGTCCCCTACCCACCTCTCTAGCAGGGCACAGGACCAACAATGTGGACCCAGAATGTTGACTCTGGGGTGCGGCCTGCAGCCTTTCTCCACCCAGGAGCAGTGAAAACAGAATGCTGAGGCTTGGCAGTTGTGATATGAGATCCCAAGAGCAGGTGTCCTCCCCCCGGCTAGCACACTGCCCCTGCAGCCCCGCAGCACCCCTGCTCTGTCAGCCCAGCCAGCTGCCTTCAGGGCTACCCATCGCGTCCCAAGGCTCCCTGGAAAGTCCCCATGGCTCAGGGAGTGTAAGGCAGTTCTTGGTGCAGCTCATGCACCTAGCACCCCAGGGTAGAGGGCTCCACTCAGAGGACAGCACCGCTCTGGCCACAGGCAAGTCATTTGTCACCAAGTCTAAAACAAGATGTTTTCGCTACCACTGCCTTGGCACCCAGCCACTGGCCACATGGCCACATCCTGCTCAGTCTTTACCAGCAGGCACTTCCCAGGTTTGTCCCAGACAGCCCTGGGGCTGCTGGGTGAAGGGCACAGCCACCACAGAGGTGAAGGGCAGCGGGGGCCAACTCCATAGGAGACAAGCTGTGGGCTTTCTGAGTTTACCGCTTTGCCGCCCTGCCAACCAGAGAACTGTAGGCAGGAGCCCCAGTCTGTTTGCTTGTAACACAGGAACAAGACTAGCCGATGTGTGGCGTAGTGGTTAGGACGCTGGCAGGTGTCCCCCCTCCCATGTGCCTGACTTTGAATCCCAGATCCGGCTTCCTGCTAGTGCAGACCTTAGGCAGCAGTAATGGCTCAAGTAGCATTCCTACCCCAACAAAACCTAGACTGCACCCCCACCCCCACTTCTACCTGCCCCAGCCGTTGTGGGCATCTGGAGAGAGACAGATGACAGAGCTCGTTCGCTCGTTCTCTGGATCCCTCAAAGAAATGGAGCCATGAGGGGGTCTCACTGAAGGGTCTATTAAGGCCCGTGACTGCGAGTTGCATGGTCCCACGGCAGCTAGACACACAAGGAGATCTCAGAGGTAGGAGCTGGGGTTCCTGATGGGGCGTGCTGAACAACAGTGCCAAACACTGCCGGGCAGTTACAGAGAGATCTTTGACCTACTGGTTCACTCTACAAGTGTCCTGGCTGGGCCAGGTTGAAACCAGCAGCTTCATCCATGTGGCTGGGGGCAATGGAGCACTTGGGCCATCCTGTACTTCCCCAGGCTCATTCACAGGCAGCTGGATGGAAAATAGAGCAGCTGGAACTCAAACCAGTACTCAAACAGGATACTGGTAACATAGAATGTGGCTCTACCTGCTAGACCACACAGCTACCTCCTGCCAGATTCTTTTCTATACGCTTTCATCCAGCCCTCGCAGAAACCCATGAATTAGCTGCTACCACTGCTGTGTTTGCATTTTACCCAGGATATCCTGGGCTTCAGAGAAACCAACTGTTTTGTCCAGGATTATCCAGCTAATGAGAGACTGACCCTGCCAGCTGCTTCGGTTCATACCTGTCAGCCCTGTTCTAGTCATCCTTGGGGTTGCACATGGATGTCCACAGAGGTGTGCCTTCACAGACCAGGGCCCTGGGAATTCACCATGATCCTGCCGAGACCTAACCCAGCCAGGGGCACCCATGGATGGAGAAAACTATCCCCCCACTTGGCTTCTGTTTCCGCAGTCCTCAGCAGCCAGGCCCCCAACAATCCCTGCCAGCAACTTCTGAACTCTCAAGTATCAGATTACAGCCTAGAGAGAACCGCCCGGAAATCCCATCTTCCAGACTTGCAGGTTTGTGTGATGTAACAGCCAGTGGGACAGAGCAAGGCCCTCGCCTGTTCCCAGCCTCCAGCCAACAGCTGCAGCTGCCCCACCCAGGTCGGACCAGAAGAGCTGGACGCCTCTCCCTCCCAGGATGCCTAAGTCTGGCTGCAGGGGAGTGTAGAGCCAGCAGTGGAGTGAGAGTGGGGGTCCTGTCATGGGGCTCCAGTCACTTGCTGACAGCTGCTGCTACAGTCCCAGGGCCTCCAGGGCTTGGATCCTGGAGCAGATCCCAAAATCAGCCGGGACAAACCACGGGTGCCAAGTCGGGCCTACAAGGATGTTTGGAGCAGCTGGGGAACTGGATGGACCCAGTGTGGGCCAGAATAAGGTAGGCCCTTGGGATAGACACCCAGGGACTGTGGGAGGAGCAGGAGGGGTGACGCCAGCCATAAGCTGCTGGCCTGGGGATTTACAGGCTCCTAACACTGCACTAGGTAGTTGGTTTCCGTGCACCATGGCAGAGACAGGGAAACCAAGTCCCATATGTTCCAAACTCCAGCTTGACGCTTTAAGGAGCCAGGTCTAGGGACTGACACTGTGACACAGCAGGTAAAAGCTACCGCTTGCATCCCATATGGATGCAGGTTCAAGTCCTAGCTGCTCAACTTCCATTCCAGCTCCCTGCTAGTGTGCCTGGGAAAAGCAACAGAGGGCGGTCAAGTGTTTGCACCCCTGTCATCCACATGGGGGATTTAGATGGAGCATGGTGTTCCTGGCTTCCAGACTCCAGCTCAGCCCAGTCCTGCCCACTGTGGCCATGTGGGGGAACAAATCCATGGGTAGACCTCTCTGTCTCGCTCTCTGTAATTCTGACTTTCTAATAAGTATTACCCCATCCTCTGCCTTCTTTCTGGAATCCCTTTCTGGGGGTCCCCTCATGGAAAAAAAGAGAGGGGAGGGGGCATCTGGCCTGGCAGCTCTCCCACTCTGGCCTTAGCCATGATCTTTTTTTCTTTTTTAAGACTTATTTATATTGCAAAGTCAGATATATAGAGAGGAGAGACAGAAAGGAAAATCTTCCATCCAATGACTCACTCCCCAAGTGGCTGCAACGGCCCGTGATGTGCAGATCTGAAGGATCTGAAGCCAGGAGCCAGGAGCTCTTCCGGGTCTCCCATGTGGGTGCAAAGTCCCAAGGCTTTGGGCCATCCTCAACTGCTTTCCCAGACCACAAGCAGGAAGCTGGATGAGACGCGGTGCTGCCAAGATTAGAACCGGTACCCATATAGGATCCCAGTGCGTTCAAGGCAAGAACTTTAGCCACTAGGCCACCATACTGGGCCCAGCCGTGATCTTGGACCCTCCTGGGATTCCTCCATCATCAGGGGCCCTGGACTTGGGCCCCTCCTCAGTTCCTCTACTCTAAGGGCCGAGAGGGGGAGCTCTTGTTTGAGTCTCCCTTTGTGAGCAGGGAGGGTAGGGGGGCTGCAGTTTCCAGTGCTCACCTAGGTGCGGAACACTGGGAGTTGAACAGTAAGGTGCTCACCTCATCCCCCGCTCCCAGGACCTTCCTGCATTAGGTGAGGAAGAGTGTGGACTACTTTGCTTGACTCCACATGTGCCTGTGCAGCACATGAAGACCCCAGGAGTAACACCCTTGTCACTTGTCACTGCCTTCCAGGCAGCAAGGCAGGGGCTGAGCTGAGTCCCTTGGGGAGGGAAAAAAGGGGAAGAGGCGCCACAGAGGGAGGGGACTGTCCCCAGGGAACCTGTGGGGGTGGTGGGAAGCCTAGGAGCTAAAGGGAGGTAGCACACACCCACCGTAAAAATTTATTTTTATTGGAAAGGCCAATTTATACAGAGAAGGTGAGGCAGAAAGAAAGAGTGAACCATCTGCTGGGTCACTCCCCACATGGCTGCAATGGCAGGAACTGAGCCAATCCACAGCCAGGAACTTCTAGGACTCCTACGCAGGGGTGCAGGGTGCCGAGGCTTGGGCTAGCCTCTGCTGCTTTCCCAGGCCATAAGCAGGGTGCTGGATGTGAAGTGGAGCAGCTGGGACACAAACTAGTGTCCATATAGGATGCTGGTGCTTGCATGGCAAGGATTCAGCAGCTGAGCCATCACACCGGCCACACAGCATCCACTATAAAGGAGACGGTGGGACAGGCGCTTGGAGCCAGGTGGCTGGAGACTGGAGCTACCCATGCTGGCCAGTCCACCAGCCCACTATGCAGGGATCTGACGAAGGGCCTTCGGGTCGCCAAGCCGCCCAGGCAGGCCAGAGAAGGTCCCAAAGGTCTGTCTCTGCTAAGCACAAAGCCCTCTTGAGCCCTTAAGACGGGTGCAAAGGTCCCTTCTGCGGGGGGCAGGGGGTTGCTAGGGTGGCGGGGCCGCAGCCGGAGCCGGCTCACCTGCTTCCCGCCAACCGGGCCAGCCGGGCGGGGAGCCCCACCTGCGGACGGCGACGCGCGCCAATGCTGGCGGGGCGGGCAGGGCGACTGGGGGCCCGGAAGCCGGGGCCGAGCGAGGAGGCGAACTTGGAGAGAGGACTGACCTGGGGGCCGGGGCGGAGCCGCGAGCAGCAGGGGAGGAGGCAGCTGGCGGCAGTGAGCGAGAGACTCCGCGCGGCCCAGGAAGCGAGCGCCGCGTCAGACAGGCAGGCTGGGCCGGGGGCTGCCCTCGACCCCCGAGCGTGACCCGCAGTACCCCGCTCCCCAACAACCCCCAAGATGATGAAGAGGCAGCTGCACCGCATGCGGCAGCTGGCCCAAACGGGCAGCTTGGGACGGTGAGTACTGGCCTCTGGCGGCACCAACTCCCTCCCCACCCCCTCGACCCCGCGGGACCCAGAGGGATGTGAGAGCTGGGAGACTTAAGCGGGGAGGCCGCCCCGGCTGGGCAGCCGCTTGGCCTGGGGGTCTGGGTTCTGCTCTCCTTCTCCCTGCCCTGCAAGCCTCCTACACCTCCAGGAGGACAGACTCGCCTTTGGGGGAAAGGAGTGCCCCACGCCTGATTGGGGAGGGGGTGCTGCATGGACACAGGGGGGCGGCCCAGGACGCTGGATATGCCCTGCTCGTAGGGCCTCCCTGGCCTCACTGGTCAGCCCTGGACAGTGGGGCCAGAGAAGCCCCTTGGGATTGCCGGTTAGAGGAAGGGGAAGGGTTGATGGGGGAGCAGGGCTTGGGGGGAGGGGAGGAGGCAGGGGCCTTGCCTAGTGGAGGAGGGGCAGGGCCCTCCTGGCAGCGCCCCCTCCCCCAGTTCCAGGCTGGAGGCCTCCCACTTCTGGGTCCCGCTTCTGCTTTTCCTAACTCAGGTGGAAAACCTGCTCAGGGTCTCCCCACCCCTCCAGTCAGTGGAGGGGAGGCCGGAAGTTTGGGTTGCCGCGAAGGGCCCTGTCTTCTCTGCGTCTCTTCCCCCAGCCCAAGAGAGTTCCCTATTCTGTGGGCCAGGCGCCCCGGGCCCAGCTTGTGGGCTCCTGTGGGTACAAACGCCTGTGTGCCCTGGCAGCCCCAGCGCCCACTGTATCCTTGATAAGAGCCCAGGCCCACTTCCACCCTCTGGCCAGCCCACCTCTGCTCCCAGCTGCTGTGCAGGGTCCTTGCCATGCTTGGGGGCTTGGCCAGGCCTCCTCTTCCCTGGGGTGTTGATAGTGGGGGGTGGGCCTAGGAGAGCCCCTCCTCTCCCAGCTCCGGCAGGGCACAGCCCTGGGTGTCCTGCATGGAGGAGGAAGGCAGGGCTGCTGTACTGCCCTGTGGAATGTGCTCTTGGATTGGGCCCACCTGTCATGGGTCCTGCCAGGACTTGGGGTCTGGGTACCCTGTTGGAGAGGAGGTGAGCAGGGAAAGGCAGGAGGCAGGGGGACTTACAACAGCTCTCCCACCCTTCCTCAGCACCCCTGAGACTGCCGAGCTCCTGGGCGAGGACCTGCTGCAGGTACGCGCCTGGGCCGCCGGCGGGCGGGCAGGTCCGTGCAAGCTGTCAGAGCTGGGGCAGGGTGGGGACGCTAGCTGGGGACCCGGGTTGAGTCATTTCCCAAGCTGTTGGCCACGGGATCCCCAGGAGGAGGAAAGAGAAAAAATGGTGGGTGGGGGTGGGTGGGTAGGGGACACCATAGTCTCCCAGAATCCACCATCCCTGCCTCTCCCCGGACCCTCCCAGGTGGAGCAGCGGCTGGAACCCGCCAAGCGAGCGGCTCACAATGTGCATAAACGGCTGCAGGCGTGTCTGCAGGGCCAGAGCGGGGCAGACATGGACAAGCGGGTGGTGAGCGAGCTGGGCAAAAGGGGTTCTAAGTAGCACTGGAGGACGTGTGGAGACTGCTGGGGGTAAAGAGTCCTGGGGCACCTGCCTTTTTGACCCAGCACTTAGTGGAGTAGCCTGGGAGGACTTCCTGGAAGAGGTAGCATTGGAGCTGAATTTTCAGCGATGCTCACCAACTCCTGCTGGACGGTTGCTACGATGCATTGATATATCGGTGCTGGGTGCCAACAGGCACCCTGGAGGAGGAAGTGGGGGCTCCCAGGGGTAAGGTCCATGCTGGGGTTGTCAGAAGCACAGCTAGTTTGAGCCTCATCTCTCCCACCTCAAAGCTGGAGCACTCTGTGTCTTGGGCAGGAGGAGGAAGGCATTGTGAGAATCTGTGACCAGGGCACGGGCTGTGGTACAATGGATGAACGCTACATGTGCCCTGGGCCAGGGGAGGCAGCTGTGCCTAGGCTAGCTCCTTCAGCTGGGTGGCTTTTAGTGGTTCTGATCCTGTATGCATCCTTGTGTCCTGGCCTGCCCCACCTGCTCGCCCAGTCATGTGGCTGCTGGGAGGGGAAAGGGGACCAGATGAGCAGGAGCTGTGACCACAGGCCCCTCCCCCATGGCTGGGGTCACCCCGTGCTTCCCCCATGGCTGGGATCCCCCATTCTAGGCTCTTGCTTACACCTGGCCCTCGACTGTCCCCCTACAGAAGAAGCTTCCCCTCATGGCTCTGTCCACCACAATGGCTGAGAGCTTCAAGGAGCTGGACCCTGACTCCAGCATGGGGTGAGCCCAGCTGGGGCCCAGCATGCACTTGGGGGTGCCAAGGGGGTAGTAAAAACTGGTAGGGGACCCAGGTCAGCAAAGGTGGCCATGGCCAGTCTGGGGACAGCATAGTGGTTAGCGTGGGAGGGTGTTGGGCCTGGTGAAGATGAAGGAGAACTGGGAGGGGCAGGAAGTAATGGAGAGGGAGTACCCTCTCCCAATCGAAAGTATTTGTCAGGAGGAGCCTGGGCCCACTGGGTGCTGCATCCACAGGAAGGCCTTGGAGATGAGCTGTGCCATCCAGAACCAGCTGGCCCGCATCCTGGCAGAGTTTGAGATGACCCTGGAGAGGGATGTCCTGCAGCCCCTCAACAGGCTGAGTGAGGTGACCCAGCCCCCTGCTGCCTCGCCCCCCAGCGCCTGCCTCCTGCTGCTGCCCACTGAACCCTCCCCACGCCCGCCTGCCCCCAGGAGGAGCTGCCGGCCATCCTCAAGCACAAGAAAAGCCTGCAGAAGCTCGTGTCCGACTGGAACGCCCTCAAGAGCAGGTGCAAGCCGTGGCCGGCTGCTGGGGGTGGGGACTGGTACTCATCACGCCACAGGGATGACCACACAGCTTGAGGTCCTTGCCACACCGGGAGGGACACTTCAGGGCCCACAGGAACACATGTGGTGAGGGTGCATGCATGAGACAGCTGTGGTGACCCCCTCAAGCCCAGGGGAGCCATAAATAGTTTTACTCCTCCACCCTAGTGGCCTGAATGGTTGTAGTTACCAAAGTCACCGCCAGGGAACGCAGCACAACGCCCCTGGTCCAAGCTGGACAAGACCCCAGAACCCAGACAACGCTGAGGTTTGCCACCTGGAGGAACACTTGGGTGCGCAACAGTCCCAGTGACCACTCCATTTTCCCCAGGCTCAACCAGGCAGCCAAGAACTCAGGCAGCGGTCAGGGGCTGGGTGGTGCCCCTAGTGGTCATGGTCACACCACGGCAGCCAACAAGGTAGAGACGCTGAAGGAGGAGGAGGAGGAACTGAAGAGGAGAGTGCTACAGTGCAAGGTGGGACACGTGAAGGTGTGAGGATGGGGCCCAGGCCTGGGTCAGAGGAGAGAGCACCTGAGGCTCGCAGAGGCAGTGTGGGTGGCTTGCTCTCACCACGGAGCCAGCTGGGCTGAAGTGCTGGCTGGCAGCCTCCAGCAACCGCAGCCTTGGCCTTGAGCTCACAGCTGCCTGTGTCTGCACCCTGGGCATACTGCCTGGGAGGCAGGCGGGCGTGCTGGTCACTGGACTTTTGGTATGTTTAATGAGTGAATGGGTGACCGGACAGTGTGCTAAGGGTATGGTGATGCAGAGCGTCCCTGACCCCTCCCAGCCCCAGAATCCCTTACCCCGTCCCCATAGACCCCCAGGCCCACTGATATGATCTGTCCCCAAGGACGAGTACCTGGCCGACCTGTACCACTTCTCCACCAAGGAGGACTCTTACGCCAACTACTTCATTCATGTGAGTCTGGGATTTGTGCGAGGTGGGAATGGCTGTGTGGTGACCTGGGAGGCGTATCTGCGGCTGCCCGGCTCTCCTCACTCCCGCGGGGTGTTGTCCCTTTATCCTCACAGCTCCTGGAGATTCAGGCTGACTATCATCGCAGGTCTCTGAGCTCCCTGGACACGGCCCTGTCCGAGCTGAGGGAGAACCACAGCCAAGCAGGTCAGGGCTGGATTGGGGAGAGCTGACCTGACAGCCCTGCCCCCAACCGTGTGTGTGAAAGAGGGAAGGAAGGGAGCAGGCCCAGGGCTGTGACACCTGCTGGGATGCGGGGATGGGAGGAGACAGTGGCCAGGAGGCCGGGGCAGACGTAGGGGAAGTAGGCAGACATGAGAGGCTACTTTGGATATGGGTGTCTCTTCAGGGAGGGTTGGGGGAAGGTGGGGACCCTTCTTTTGAGGATGTGTGGGGTGCCCATGTATATCTAGCATGACTGACACCTCCTCCCCGAGGTGAGAAGACCCTGGGCCGCTGATCCGTCTTATCCCCACAGACCCCTTGTCCTCGATGACAGCCACCACCTCCCCCAGGGTGTATGGGGTGTCACTGCAGGCGCACCTACAGGAACTGGGCCGGGACATCGCCCTGCCCATCGAGGCCTGTGTCCTGATGTTACTCTCTGAGGGCATGAAGGAAGAGGTGGGGCCCCTGTGGCTGGCAGCAGGGGTGGGGGAACGAGGAGCATTCGGGCTCCCATGCTATCCCAGACCCACACCCAGCTGGGCCAAGCACTGTGCTGCGGACCCTTGGCAATCCTTGCTCCGTTGAACAGTGACCCTGTGGCACTTTGGCCTTGTTTCCAGAGGGAGGGACAGCACATGGGGAGGTGGCATTGGAAGTGCTCCCAGCGGGGCTGCCACACACTGGGCCCTCCATGTCCTTTAGTCCCCTGGCGGCTTTCCTAAGGCTGGCCCTTTAAGCAGGAGATGCCCCAAGACAGAACTGGGCCCCTTGGCACTCCTGCCTGGGCCCCTGTGCTGCCTTGCTAGGCTGACCAGCCTCCTGACTCCCCAGCAGCCTTTTTGCCTTGCCCCATTTCTGGTGATCCCCTTCCCCTAAAAGCCCTCTCACACTCCAGGGCCTCTTTCGTCTGGCCGCCGGAGCCTCAGTGCTGAAGCGCCTTAAGCAGACCATGGCCTCGGACCCGGGCAGCCTGGAGGAGTTCTCTTGCGACCCCCATGCAGTGGCAGGTGCCCTCAAGTCCTACCTGCGGGAGCTGCCTGAGCCCCTGATGACCTTCGACCTCTATGATGACTGGCTGAGGGCTGCCAGGTGAGGATGTGGCTGAGGTGGCAGTGGGAGGAAGTGGCTGCCCAGGCCTGGCCTAGGACCCCTGGCTCACCTGCTCTGCTGTCCTCAGCCTGAAGGAACCAGGTGCCCGGCTGGAGGCCCTGCAGGAGGTGTGTAGCCGCCTGCCCCCTGACAACCTCAACAACCTCAGGTGAGTCCAACCCCATAGCCAGAACCCCAGGGGGGACTTAGCCCAGTCACCTGCCTGGCATCTTCTGCCCCCGTGCCTGGCACAGCCTTGGCAGGTGGGTCTGCAGGTCTTAGCATCCTCCACCCATGCCAGCCCAGCCCACAGAGGGGCCCTATTGACGCTGCTGTTAGAACCATACTGGGTGGCACTTGCCCATTCTTTGGAAACCCTGGAAGCCCAGGGGGCCTGTGGCCATGACGTATGTCCCACCCATCACCAGGTACCTGATGAAGTTCCTGGCACGGCTGGCTGAAGAGCAGGAGGTGAACAAGATGACACCGAGCAACATCGCTATTGTGCTGGGGCCCAACCTGCTGTGGCCGCCTGAGAAGGAAGGGTGAGGGGCAGTAGTGGGGGGAGGGAGCCCCACCTGACACCCCCATCTCACTCGCTCACTCTCGGCCTGGGTCCGTTAGCTGCTGTGGCCACAGCCACCCCTGAAGACTTCCTGATGGGACTTCAGGTGCCCCCAGGGCTTGGGGTCATGGCCTTCTGCATTCACAGCGGCAATGGGGGCCTTGACAACCCCATGTGGGGGCCTGGGAGCAAGATTGGGTTCCACCGCAACCCCTGACCTGCCAGCAACAGCCTGAGGAAGTCATTCTCCAACGCTCCATGTCCCCAGCTCTACAGTGGGGACACGTCACAAAAAGATTTATTTGTATTAGAAAGGCAGATGTATAGAGAGAAGGAGAGACAGAAAAAAGATTCTCTATCCGCTGGTTCACTCCCCCAAATGGCTGCAATGGCTGAGCTGCTCTGAGGCCAGGGGCCAGGAGCTTCTTCCAGGTCTCTCATGCAGGTTCAGGGTCCCCAGGCTTTGGGTCATCCTCTCCTGCTTTTCCAGGTCACAAGCAGGGAGCTGGAAGGGAAATGGAGCACCTGGGACATGAACTAGTGCCCATATAGGATCCCGGTGCTTGCAGGAGGTTAGCCAGTTGAGCCGTCACACCAGTCCGAATTACACAGACTAGAATTTTGCCTTGGAAATTTGAAAAATTCATGAGTGAGGAAATTATGCTTAGTTGTTTTATTCATTTAATTCCAAAGACAAATGGGAAGAGAGTGGGCAATCCCTCATCGTCTGGTTCATTCCTCATGCCTGCGACAGCCGGGAGTGGGCCAGGGCGAAGCTGGGAGGCGGGAACTCCACATGAGTCTCCCATGTGGGTGTCAGGGATGCAGCGCCCAGAGTTGTTACCTGTTACTTCCCCAGGTGCATGGGAGCAGGGGTCGTCAGGACTGGGGGTGTGTGCTGTGACCCAGGGAGGGGCCTCTGACACACACAGGTCCCATCTCATGCTAGGAGAGTCTGTCTAGAGCTGAGAACTTGGAGAAGTTTCGGTGCTGAACCAGTGGCTGGAAAAAGGGCAGTCTGGGCTGCATGAACCAGGCACACACATATATACGTGGCGGCCTTGGACCTGTGGCCTGTGAGCCCTTGCTGGCCTGACCTCACAGGCCACAGGTGTCAGACACAATGCTGATTGTGTCTGCTTTCTTGTGCCAGGGACCAGGCCCACCTGGACGCGGCCTCCGTGTCTTCCATCCAAGTGGTGGGCGTGGTAGAGGTGTTGATCCAGAATGCAGACACTCTGTTCCCTGGAGGTAAGGTTTCCCCGCCACCTCCCACCCCTGCCCCCAGCCTCAGGCCTGGGCAGCCCCGGCACTTGCCTCTCTGCTATGAGCTCCCATTCCTGGTCTGCGTCCATGGGCAACAGGAGGCGAAGCTCACCCCAGGAGTGCAGGGGACCAGGCACAGGGGCTGGCAGAGGCTCTGCCCCAAGGCCCACACCTTCTGTCTACAGACATCAACTTCAACGTGTCAGGCCTGTTTGCGGCCCTGGCGCCCTTGGACAAGGGCAGTGAGGGGCCAGTCCTAGAGGACCTGCCATTCACCGCTGCACCTGACTCCGCTCCCACCACCACCCCAGCTCCAGCTCCGGCTGCAGTCCCGGCCTCCATCAGGGAAAGGTGAGCATTAGGACATGGCCCTCCCACCCCGCCCTGTGCCCACCCTGCAGGTGCCCAGCCTCAACCACTGGTCTTTGGCCCTCTTGTCACACATCCACCTCTGTGAGACCCAATCATGGAGTGGGAAATCCAGCCAAAAAAAAAAATGTCTATGCAGAACATAGTCAGATTTTTCTTTTTCTTCTAAGATTTATTTTAATAATTTGAAAGACAAAATGACAGGACGAAAAAGAGATCTTTCAGCCACTGATTTCACTTTCCAAATGACTGCCATGGCTGGGACTAGGCCAGACTGAAACCAGTAGCCTGGAACTCCATTTGGGGACCCCTCAGGGGTGGCAGGGGCCCAAACACTTGGGCCATCTTCGGCTGCTTTCCCAGGTGCATTAGCAGGGAGCTGATGGGAAACAGAGCAGCTCAGACTTGAGCTAGCACTCTAGTGTAGGCTGTAGGCGCTGTAGGTGGCAGCTTAACTTCCTGTGCTTTGACGCTGTTCCCCAAACATTTTTTTTTTTTTGTCCTTGTCCTCTCAACCATAGTGTTGCGACTCTGTAGGTAGCACTTGCATGGCCACAAGTGTCCTAAGTCATCTAGTAGCAACCAGAAGCACAGGAGTGGTCCAGCCTTGGTTGGGTTCCAACATGTGTAGCGATGGGACACTCTGGTTTCTTTCAAACCAGTTTTCTTTCTGGTTTCAAAGACCAGCCCAGACAGTTGGGTGTGGGCAGGTTGGCAGCCTTGAATGTGTTCACTGGCATGTTGTCTGGCTGCTTCCTGAGTGCCCACTGTGTACCAGGCCCTGGGAATTTAGGGACCCAGAGAGGTGACCACAGTAGAGTTTGTCTAACCTCCCAGACTGAGCTGGAAGGGTTTCTGGGGCATCTGTATTGAGCAGGGGCTGTCCAGTGTCCCACAGGCTGTGCTGGCCAGAGCCATGAATTCCCCAGATGCACTGGGCAGCAGGGCTTAGCTCTCGCACTGCATGGTGGGAGAGAGAACCAGCAAGCACGGAATGGCAGGTGGTAGCCAGTGCCATGCAAGAGGAGGGAGCAGAGAATGGGTGGATGGGGGAGCCAGGCGCACCCACTGACTCGCTGCTTCCAGAGGCAGAACATCCCATGAACCACACCCTGGGAGGCCCGCTCCAACAGGCAACTAGGTAGTGTGCCAGCCTTCCCCCACAGGGGCCATGGACCCCTTAACAGGGTCCCACAGCAGGTGGACATGGTGGATGCAAGCCTGTCTAGAACCAGAAGCGTCTTGCCTTAGGGATCTGGCCTGGTCCCTGGTAGGACAGTCTCCTGTCAGCTGGGAGTCTCCTCAACATGGCAGGCAAGCAACTTATAGGCAGTGACGATGTCTGTTTCTGCCTCCTTCCCCTTCCTTCTGCAGGGTAGACTCGGAAGCGCCCCCCAGACCAGCCTCCCCTAAGGTCCACAGGAGCCCCCCAGAGGCCACAACCCCAGCTGAGGATGCAGCTCGGAAGAGTGAGTTGGCGGTGGGAAGGGAAGGAGAGGGGCTGGGGGAGGCCAGGAATCCAGTCCTGCTGCCTTCTTCAGATTCCAGCACTGGGCACCTTGAGTGTAGTCCTAACATCCTGGGTGCAGAGAGCACTCTCGCCTGAAGGGAGCGCTGTGTGCAGTGTGCAGAGCTAGCTGGGCAGCCAGGCACCTGAGGTCAAAGGGCAGGGGGAAAAAGAGGTAGTTGGCACAGAGAGACCTGCAGCCTCCGGGCCCACTCACCTGTCAGCTTGGTTCAGAGCTGGACAGGTGAGCAGGCCTCCCTGGCATGAGTGGCCCATCTGGGAGGTGCAGCCATCTCTGGAGACCCCCTGCTCAGTGCTGTGCCAGATGGTCTGCTTGGCTCACTCTGCTGGTGCTGGTAAGGGGCGTGAGCAATGCACGAGCAACAGAAAAGTCCACAAAGCCCTTTCAGAGCACCAAAGTCATGCGCAGCAAATAGAACTGGGAGATGTGACAGGTGTAGGGCGTTGGTCTTGGGCCCACTGGGGAGATGAGCATGAAGGGAGAGCAAGCCCCTACAGGAGGAGAAGCAGGTGCTAGGACCCTGGGGTGGGACCAGCTTGCAGGTGGAACTCCCTTAATCGGGATGTTTCACCTTCCTCCTGCTGTCTTGCTCTGCAGCCAAGCGCCCAGCACCTGCACGACCCACCATGCCACCACCCCAGGTGGCCAGCGCCCGGTCTTCTCCTCCAGCTGCGCCACTGCCCCCTGGCTCCGGCAGCCCCGTCACACCCCGAGCTCTGCCCCGAAGGTTGGTTGGCAGCAGTCTCCGGGCCCCCACAGTGCCACCCCCTCTGCCACCTGTACCCCCACAGCCTGCCCAGCGTCAGAGCCTCAGGTCCCCAGCATCCCCAGGGCTGGCCTCACTCAGCCCAGTCTCCCTCAGTGGGCCTGTGCACGTGGACTTTGGGGTGGCCAAAGAAGAAGGAGGGGGGGCCCCTGAAGCTCTTGAGGGGGTCCCCACTTCCCCAGCTCTGCCACCCCAACCCCGGCCCAGGAGCCTTGCCTCTGAGACTGATTGAACAGGTGTGCCCTCCCTCTTTGCCTGCCGTGACCTCGCAGGACACAGTCCTTGCCTTTGCCCATAAGTGCCTTGGTGCCCGCTGGGCCGGCCCCCACGGCCCCTGCATGTTTTGACCTTCTCCTTGGGGACCTCCTCCTTGCCTGACCCCCCACTCTCTGGCAGGATCCCAGGGGAACCAGTGGAAGGAAGGAGGGGCTTGTCTGTCCTTAGGGGATTTATTATTTTTCTCTTGCCGACATATTTTTTTTTGTAAGGCTGGTCAATAAATTATTTTGGACAAAACTGGAGCAGCCGCCTAAAGGGTTGTTTTCTCTTCTGGCTTTGAAATGAAAGAAGCTGTCAGCGGGGAGAGGGAGGGGGAGTCCTCCTCTCCTCCTTTCTTGTACTCAGCATCCTGCTCAGCTCCTCCTCCCTGGGAAATCAATGCCGCCCTCCTCTCAAGCGGGGAGACTGAGGCACGCAGGGCTGGGGTGGGAACCAAGGTCTGACAGACTGCCGGAAGCTCTGCTTGCTGGCACTCCAAGCGGATGGTCTAACAAAAGTTGTACTTAGGGTGAGATGCCCTGTCCACAGCTCCGCTAAGCTGGCTCTGCACAGGTGCTGGGCTGGCTCCTGGACTGAGCTCTCCACCCACAAAGCTTCTGGAAACAGGAGGAGACCTGACAGAACCTAGGGTCCTGGCACTGGGGTCCCAGTGAGGGGTGGACTCCCTGGCTCAGACCGATATGTGAATGTGGATGGCATTTAGTCATGGAAGGCTTCCTAGAGGAGGTGATCTGTAAGGGAAGTCTTCAAGGGAAACGTTGAAAGGCAAGATTGATGTTTTAGGCCAGTAAGACTACCAACCTGTACAAAGGCCGTGACACAGGCTAGTGTGGCACAGTGAGTTAAACTGTGGCCTGCCAAGCTGACATCTCATATTGGGACACTAGTTCGAGTTCCAGCTTCTTCACTTTTTTTTTTTAAAAAGGTTTATTTATTTATTTTTATTGGAAAAGCGGATATACAGAGAGGAGAGACAGAGAGGAAGATCTTCCGTCCGATGATTCACTCCGCAAGTGAGCACAATGGCCGATGCTATGCCAATCCGAAGCCAGGAACCTCTTCCGGGTCTCCCACGTGGGTGCAGGGTCCCAAAGCTTTGGGCCGTCCTCGACTGCCTTCCCAGGCCACAGGCAGGGAGCTGGAAGGGAAGCGGGGCTGCCGGGATAGAACCGGCACCCATATGGGATCCCGGGCGTGCAAGGTGAGGACCTTAACCACTTGCGCCACCGCACCGGGCCCCAGCTTCTTCACTTTTTAAAACTCACTTATTTACTTAAAGTCACAGAGAAAGAGGGAAAGAGAAATCTTCTGTCTAGGCTCACTCCCCAAATGATTACAATGGCCAGAACTGGGCTGGTTTGAAGCTGGGAGCCTGGAGCCTCCTTTGGATCTCCTGTGTGGATACAGGCTCCCAAGCTCTCGCGTTATCTTACATTGCTTTCCCAGGCACATTAGCCAAAATGGAAGTGGGGCAGCCACTGGCATTGCAGGTAGTGGCTTTCCTCGCTGCTCCACTTTGGAACCAGCTTCCCACTCAGGCACCTGGGAAGCCTTCAGTTTTCTCTCTGTGAGAAACCCCCAGTCCAGCTGGGTCACTCCCTGAGCCCCTGGCCAGCAAACTCGGTGATGGTTGTAGCTAACTCAGTTCTTCCCCTATTTTGACCTCATAGTGGATCCCCTGAGATTCAAAGCCGTGTGGACCTTCCATGTGGGTGTCAGTGACCAAAGCGCTTGGGCTATTGTCTGGTGGTTCTCTGGTGCTTTAGCAGGAAGTTGAGCAACCAGGACTTGAACTTGCACACTAGTATGGGATGCTGGCAGGTGTCCCAAGTGGCAACTTAACCCACTACACTGTTGTGCCTACCCACAGGGTGGGTTGTTAAACAAAGATTTATTTATTTATTTGAAAGAGCAAGAGTGACAGAGACAAAGAGGAGGAGAGATCTTCCCTTTGCTGGCTCACTCTCCAAATGATGTAGCAGCCAGGGCTGGGCCAAGCTGAAGCAACAAGCCCAAAACTCCATCTGGGTCTCCCATGTGGGCAGCAGGGGACCAAGCACTTGGGCCATTAATGGTTGGTTTTTCAGGCGCTTTTGCAGGAAGCTGGATTGGAAGTGGAGACCCTGTTTCTCCAAACTGGCACCTGATAGCAAATGGCAGCTAAACCTGCTGTTCCACAACTCTAGCTTCCTCAAAAAAGCATTAGCCAGAAGCCGTGGAAGTGAACATCCAAGATCGATTCCTTGTGGTAGAAAAAAAAAAAAAATCCATAGAATAGTGAAATTAAATAAATGCATGAAAAATATCCACTTTACTCATCCTAAATATGGAAGTGATCACACACACACACACATCTAAGAGGCTTGCGGCACCACCGGCGTGGAGAACCACGGGGTCCAGACTAAGGGTCCTATCGCCCAAGGCACCCGAGGTGAATTTGCGCATCTCCAGCACCCATGGTTGGCTGGACAATGAGATTTGACCAAAAGCTGACCTCTCCCGTAGCATCTGTTTTTCCTTCTAGCAACCGGCTCTCCTCGGTTTCCAATTGGTTGATTGCATTTTCTCCTCGTAGCTCCTTATTGGGCCGAAAAACGTCATCTCCCAGCTTCCCCACCCCCTGGACGAGGTTAGCGGAATTCTAAGTCCTCGGCGACTGGCCATGTCTCTGAGACTCTCGCCCCTATTGGCTACGGGCCCATGTAGTGACCCCGCCCCTGGGACCTTCCTGCGGGCCGATTGGCAGCCGCAGGGGCCCGGGCCGGGACGAGCGCGCCGTGCCCGCGGAGGGCGAGCGGGCGGCCGGGCGTGCGTGCGGGCTGCCAGCCGGCTGCATGGCGCGCTGCGAGCGGCTGCGCGGCGCGGCCCTGCGCGACGTGCTAGGCCGGGCGCAGGGGGTCCTGTTTGACTGCGACGGGGTGCTGTGGAACGGCGAGTGCGTCGTACCGGGCGCCCCCGAGCTGGTGGAACGGTTGGGGCGGGCCGGCAAGGCGACGCTGTTTGTAAGCAACAACAGCCGGCGCGCGCGGCCTGAGCTGGCCCAGCGGTTCGCGCGTCTCGGCTTCGGGGGGCTGCGAGCCGAGCAGCTCTTCAGCTCGGCACTGTGCGCCGCGCACCTGCTGCGCCAGCGCCTGCCGGGCCCGCCGGAAGCCTCGGGCACAGTATTTGTGCTGGGCGGCGAGGGGCTACGCGCCGAGCTGCGCGCCGCGGGGCTGCGTGTAGCAGGGGACCCTGGCCATGACCTGGCCTCGGAGGATCCCGCGGCCACGCGTGTGCGCGCCGTGCTCGTGGGCTACGACGAGCACTTCTCCTTCGCCAAGCTGAGCCAGGCGTGCGCGCACCTGCGCGACCCCGACTGCTTGCTCGTGGCTACTGATCGCGACCCTTGGCACCCTCTCAGCGATGGCAGCCGGACCCCTGGTGAGTGAGCGGTTGGCGAGGGACACAGGTGGAGGACTAGCAATGCTTTGCCTTGGTGGGGGAGGGGAGAAGTAGATGGGCGCGGAGGCTGGGGGGTGGGGAAGAAGGACTGGAGAGATGGCAAGGGTAGCCCCCCGCGCAGCCAGAGCCCAGGGTGCTTGAATGTCCTCGCTGCCAACCTGCGCTGTGAGACATGGGACAGTAGCTTCCATCTCCAGCGTTGACGGATGGGGAACTGAGGTGCATTGTGGCTCAGGGAGAAGAAGGTGGATTCCAAATCTCCCTGACTCCCACCTCAGCCTTCTGAAAACAGCTTGAAAGACTCCTGTCGCTTTGCCCCGCCCACCATCGGATAGGGTGGTGGGAAACCCAAGGGAGAAGGTTGTCATCCCGCCCCTCCCCCTCCGCCCGAGGTCCCCAGGATGGCGCACAGCTCCTGCACGAGGTTATGGGCACTTGTGTGGCGCCTGGGGCTCGAAGGCCTTTGACCTCAGCTGCAGCTCCAAGCTGTGGCGTCCCATGGAGTTACATAACCAGCAAGTGCGTCCCTGGGTGTCAAATGGGAGCACTCCCTCCCCCCACCCCACCCCCTCTCTTCGCAGGGCCTGATGCCCTGTGAGAACCTGCTGCAAAGTAGGACCTCAAGTATCAGAGCTTGGAGAAGCCCCTCCGTGTCTGTTTAATTTCTTAATTACTGGGGAAGTGGAAGTGACCATCCCATTTTCCAGTTAAAATGGCCTGAAGCTCCGAGAGGAACCGTGGGCTACTGGAGAGGGTCTGACCTATAGTCAAGCCCAGCTAACCTCCTGGTAGCCCCTCTTTGCTACTCTTTTTTTTTTTTTTCCTCTTTGCTACTCTTATCCTAGGTGTTCAACCCAGCTCCCCAGAGGCTTCTGGGTAAATAGGAGCAGGTGGCTACCAGGACTGGGCAGAGGTGCTGTGTGTGTGGGCAGGCAGGATAGATCACCACCGCTCCCTGTCTGCTGGCCACTGACCTGGTCATCCACACGCAGTCCTATGGAGGAAGCAGGGTACTACTGATGTGAAATGGACAGAGGATGACACAGAAAGGCCAGGGTAAGGGGAGAACTGGACAGCAGACAGACAGTGATATGGTGAGGCAAGGGGAAGGGCGGGGATACCCAGTTCAGACCTGTCCTGGCTCTGACCGAGGCAGGTGCTTGCTACAAGGACCCCTGCCCCCTCTGACTCAGTTTCCCTGTGGTCAGGGCTCCCGGCAGCGACAGGCTGTGCTATGAAAGGTGTATCTCGGTTAGGACACCCCCCCAAGGTTCTGGAATTGGGATGAAGAGCTGGGCAGAGGCCCAGCCTGCCTCACAGGCCTGCCTCACAGGCCTTCTGGTGAGCCCAGGCCCCCATGTCCCCTGTGTGCACCTGCTAGAGGGCACAGAGAGGCTTAGCAAGTGCAGCCTCACTGTTGCATCTGCACAGCCTATAGAAAGGCTTCAGATCTGAAATCAGGCCGACCTCCCAGCTCCCCTTGCCCATCCAGTCCAACGGTGCTGAACAGCAGAGACACCTGCTGGCTCTGGGGTAGCTCACGCCAGCGATCTGCCATGAACTGGGCCTCCGCGCATCCTGGGGCATGAATAGTCATGTACATTAGCTCCATCCTGATGTGTAGTGGGGTAGAAGGTTGGGGGAGCTGAGGCAGCTGGGAGAAAAACCCTTTGGGGTGACTCTTGAAGGATTTTCCAGCCAAGGGGGAGAGTCACTTTTCTCCTGTACCCAATGCAAACAAACAAGCAAGTTCTAGGTCAGATGTTAGGGTGAACTTCCCTGGGGGTGTTGCTCTGGGCCAGTGTGGAAGGCCATGTTCTGTGGGACTCCTGATGCTGCCTGGCATCAGACCCTTGGGGTCAGATTGGTACTGGTAGCTAGGGAGGCCTTGATTTGCCCGTTCTGCTGATCTGTGTGGCATGAACACCCTGGCATGGCACCGGGGAGAGACAGGCTTGCGCTGTGAGGTGCGCTCGGGCAAGTGTGGTACAGTGATGAGTGAGCGAGGCACAGTCTGCTCCGAATGTAGTGCACCATGTGGTGCTCTTATTTGTTAACTTTCAGCGCTAATGTCCCTTCCCATTCAGCTCACAGAATTCCTGAAAATGAGCCCATCTGTCCTCCCAAGCCAGCGTGGCCTGTCTGGGTCACACCCACCTGTCCCATGAAAAGCTGTGCAGCCTTTGACAAGCCTCCGTGTTCTCCTCGATGAGCTGGGCTGCCACGTGCACATGGCACAGCCCCTGGCAGCTTAGCAGGTGCTTTCAGTGAATGTTGGTAATCAGACCTAAGCAGAGTGGACTAGCCCAGAGGCTCGCTGAAACAAGTGGGAGATAACACCAAACAGCAGTCCTCCCAGTTTGAGCCCTTGGTTGCCTGCCAGGATTTTACCCATGCGGGTATCCGTAGCCACAGTCACCTTCCAGCGTGTAGCTTTCTGTCTCCAGGTTGAATTCTCTTCCTGTGATCGCTTTCCCCCCCCCCGTATGGAGCCAGACCAGGTCAGAGGCGCGAATTTCTCTGGGTCCTGCTGGATTCCAGAAGTGCCATGCCAGGCTCTGGTACCCAGAGCAGGGGTTCCAATTGCCATGACCACATGCTCCTGGCTTAGAGCTTTTCCAGTCCCAAAAACATTTGCTCCTGAATGGAATGTCCCTCTTGAGTCTTCCCTAGGCTGCACCCCACCCCCTTTTGCAGCAAGTTCAGGGAAACAGGTTGAGGGGCTTGCCCAAAGGCCCACGGCTACCGGGTAAAGTAGGGACCTTTAAGGAGGGCTGGCTGAGCCAGCTATGATGCCCTAGCCTGACTGACTCCCCCACACTGAGCGGCTTCTTGCTGATCCGAATCTCTGTCCCCTCTACCGCAGGCACTGGCAGCCTGGCCGCCGCAGTGGAGACCGCCTCCGGACGCCAGGCTGTGGTGGTGGGCAAGCCCAGCCCCTACATGTTCGAATGCATCACAGAGCACTTTCGCGTGGACCCTGCCCGCACCCTCATGGTGGGCGACCGCCTGGAGACCGACATCCTCTTTGGCCACTGCTGCGGGATGACCACCGTGCTCACACTCACTGGTGTTTCCCGCCTGGAGGAGGCCCAGGCGTACTTGGCGACTGGCCAGCACAACCTGGTGCCCCATTACTACGTGGAGAGCATCGCAGACTTGATAGAAGGCCTGGGAGACTGAGGCCCCTTCCCGCCCCCACTCCCTGGCCTGCTTTTGATCCTGGTGGAGCTGGAACCCCGAGCTGGGGTGGGGGGAGGCTTGGGGACTGGTGTGCCTCACTCCCCCTTTCCCAGAAGGGACCGGGCACTCTGTGATGTCCCAGACCCTGTTGGTGGTCTGGCCCAGGCAGATGGGCTTACTTCTGGCCCTTTCTGGAAGTCGGGTCCCTGAGGCCAGCTGGAGAGGCCCCTCCCCACCTGGAACCTTCCCTTCCCTGGGGCTGCTGCTGCCCTGCCTGCCCGTCTCTCCCACCCTGCCCTGACCGAGCAGTGGCTTCCCATTGTGGTAGCCTGTGGACCAATCTGAGGCCAAGGCACAGCAGCTCTCTGAAGCCAGGTCCTAAGTGGATCAGTTAGGAGCCTGAGGACACTACCCTGACCTGTCCCAGGCACTGGAGTGGACTCCCTGGCCCACCTTGCGCCCCTCAGACCCAGAATAGAATAATCCAGAGGTCTGTGACTCTTGACAATCTGCATCTGCCCAGAGATCTGGACTGCAGGTTGGGGGTGCCAAGGTTGGAAGACAACCCTTCACCACAGGCCAAGCAACTCTGAGGCCCCATCCTTCCCCAGTTGTGGCACCATCCAGTGTGGATGGAGGCCATAGCTCAGAAGGGGGGCCTCTGTGTGTCTCCCTCTTGTGGTCAGTGTTGGCTGTGCCACTTCTCTGTGCCAACTCCCAACTGTTTATTTATTATTGTGTGCCAGTGAGGGTGGGGGCAGGGCCTTCATGCCACCCCCACTTCTGTTGTAACCTGTCCTCCCGTACTGAATAAAGTACGAGCGGAAGTGTCCGTGTGTGGTTCACTGTGGCCGGACAGGGGCCTGCCCCAGCCTTCCCCTTGGGTAGGGGTGCATCTTGGGTTACTTTTTGAAATTCATCTGTTATATATTCATTTGGAAGGCACAACATTAGAGAGAGGGAAAGAGCTTCTGTGCCCTGGTTCACTCCCCAAATGGCCCCAGCAGCCGAAGCTGCTGAGCCAGGCTGACACCAGGGGCCCAGAACCTCAAGCAGGTTTCTCACACTGATGGCAGAGGCCTAAGCACGTGGGTCGTCATACACTGCCTTCCCAGATGGAAGATGGATTGGAGATGGAAGGACCAGGGCTCAAAGCTGCACTCCCATGGGGCTGGAAGAAAGCTCCTAGCTGCAAGGTGTGGTCACCTACACAGTTTCAGCTTGCATTGGTGGACTGCGCGAGGCTGGGGGGGACAGATGGCTCTGGAGGTGTCCATCACCTGGAGACAGCACTGAATGTGTCCCCTCAACACCACCACCCCTTTTATTTTTTTAAGATTTATATATTTGAGAAAGTGATAGGGAGAGACAGCTTTTTAAAATTTTCTTTAAAAGTGTTTTATTTGAAAGGCAGTTTATAGGGCCCGGCGCGGTGGCGCAAGTGGTTAAGGTCCTCGCCTAGCACGACCCAGGATCCCATATGGGCACTGGTTCTAATCCCGGCAGCCCCGCTTCCCTTCCAGCTCCCTGCCTGTGGCCCGGGAAAGCAGTCGAGGACGGCCCAAAGCTTTGGGACCCTGCACCCGCGTGGGAGACCCGGAAGAGGCTCCTGGCTTTGGATCGACATAGCATCGACCGTTGCGCTCACTTGGGGAGTGAATCATCGGACGGAAGATCTTCCTCTCTGTCTCTTCTCTCTGTATATCCGCCTTTCCAATCAAAAAATAATAAAAATAAATATTTTTAAAAAAAAAGAAAGGCAGTTTATAGAGAGGTGAGAGAGGGAGAGATCTTCCATCGGCTGGTTCACTCCCCAAATGGCCACAACAGCTAGAGCTGAACTCATCAGTTTGTGTCTAACGGTCAAGGAGTGTCTGCACTGCCATTTTCAGGCTTATGCAAGAACCCAGATTTTTGTTGATTTTATTGAATACAGAATTCACCTGCCAGGGAAGCCTCCTAGCTCCAGGCTTCTGGCTTCTGGCAGTTTCCTTCACTTAAAGCAATTGGAGTTGCATACAGCCAAAAAACAAAACAGAAAACCCTTCCTTAGACACACGCCTTAGGCATATCCCACAGTTAATGTACCTTTCTCTGAGTGTTGTGGGTCTGGCGCAACGTCTCGGTGATCCTTGCCTTAAAAGTGCCAAGATCCCATAAGCATGCCGGGTCGTATCCCAAATTCTCCCCTTTCTGTTCAGCTCCCTGCTTGTGGCCTGGGACCCTGCATCTGCATGAGAGACCCAGAAGAAGCTCCTGGCTCTTGACTTTGGATCAGCTCAGCTCCAGCTGTGTGGCCACTTAGGGAGTGAGCCAACAAACAGAGGGTCTTTGTCTCTCCTCTCCATGAATCTGCCTTTCCAATAAAAACTTTAAAATTTTCTCCAAGTATTTTTATGTATTTTAGATTTTTGGCTTTAAGACTGTAGATCCATCTGGATCTAATTTAGGAACTGACCCAGCTCTAGGAATTCTGGGAACCCCTTGCTATGGAAAAATCCCACCTGCAGAGTTTGCAAAGGTCACTTACTGTGACCAGTCCAGCCAGTTCCTGCAGGAGCAAGGTGAACGCTTGTTAATTTCAGCCTTGCACTCAGCATTTTGGAACCAGCACATTTTTTTTTTTATCCCCTTCAGGGTGCAAATATTTTCTAAGCACTTTAAAGCTCTTCACTTCCTTGAGCCTAGAATTACAAGTCAGATGTTGAAAACACAAAAAAGGCTCTGTCCTAGGCGGGTGTGAGTTGCACGCAGACCTTGCGTGAAAGGAGGTGAAGTGGGTGGCTTCCCAAATGAGCCCTAGGGGCCTGTGACCCAGGTGGGAAAGCCAAGGAAGGGCTGGGAGGCAGCTTGGAGGGCCAAGGCCAAGATCCCTCCAGCCCTTCAGGAGTGCAGGAATCTGGGATGCTGGCTTTCCGCCTCTCAAAGGGACCTTGGTCATTAAATGGGGAGCAACAGTGCCGGCACAATAGGCTAACTAGCTAATCTTCTGTAAGTGCCATCATCCTGCCTGGGTGGTTTGTGTCTCAGCTGCTCCACTGCCCATCCAGTTCCCTGCTTGTGGCCTAGGAAAGCAATGGAAGATGGTCCAAAGCCTTGGGACCCTGAACCCATGTGGGAGTCCTGGAGGAAGTTCCTGGCTCCTGGCTTCAGATTGACTCAGTTCCAGTAATTGCAATTATTTGCAAAGTGAGTCTAGAGATGAAAGATATTCCTCTCTGTCTCTCCTTCTCTCCGTAAATCTGCCTTTCCAGTAAAAATAAATAAAATCAAAAAATAAATGGGGAACAGGTAAGATGCTGGTAGTCACTCTTACCACCCCTACCTTCTCCAGCTAGAGCAGCTAGGGTGCAAGGAAGGGGTGTATAGTGTTTTGGTGGGCACAGCTGGAAAAGACCCAGTGTCCATTAGGGCAGGGTAGGGCAGAAACAGGTGGGAACCAGGACCAGAGAAGGGCTACACTGACTTGGAAGAGATGACCTCACGTGCTGGGGTCATTTCACAGCAGCAGTCATGGTCCTGCTTTTATGATGGAGAAATTTCCAGAAAGCTCTTCTTAACCACTTTGCCCAGGAACCAAAAGTGGAGTGGCAGGTTGTGGTCCTTGTAGTGAGCGTGGTGCAGGAGGGAATGTGAGCCCTGAGCCCTCAGCATCCCTCCTGTGCCCTGCCAAGTAGCTGGTGATTGGCAAGTCACTGCCACCTGCAGGCCCAGAGGATCAAGTTCCTCAGCAGAGCCTGAGACCTTAGATGTGGTGGTGGCCTGTAGTCTCCACATTGGTCCTTGCTTCTCTTGTCCTGATTGGGATGGATGCGTCATTTTACTGTGAATTCAGCTCAGCGGGCAGACACAAAGTACAGGACTTTCAGGTCGTTCCTGCCCTCACAGCAATGCAGGCGGTGAGAGGAGCTGGGCCGAGCCAATGCAGGATCTTATTGGGAAAACAGAGACCTCGCAGGCCAGAAGGGCCCTGCGGTGAAGTTTTAAGGAAATAAGATTGACAAGATTTTCACATAGTTTCTGCTCATCGACTTTGTTCTTTGACATTCTTTAAGGGAAGTGACCACGGTCTCTGATGAAGGTATGTTGTCTTCCTGATGCCTTGGGAAATGCTTTATGTGGCCTGGGTGGTGGCATAATAGACAAAATCGCCACTTGTGACGCCAGCCTCCCATATAGAAGCCGGTTCGTGTCCCAGCTGCTCCAATTCCAATCCAACTCGCAGAGAATGGCCTGGGAAAGCAGCAGCAGATGATGCAAGTGCTTGGGCCTCTGCCTCCACGTGGGAGACCAGAAGAAACACCGAAGTAGCTCTTGGCTTCTGCCTGGCCGTTGTGACCATTTACGGAGTGAACAAGTATATAGAAGAGTCCCTCTGCTCCACACCCCATCACTTTCAAATAAGTAAATATATTTTTTAAAATATTTGTTTTTATTGGCTTAAAGGCACACTTTACAGAGAGAGAAGCAAGGCAGAGAGGAAGGTCTTCCATCTGCTGGTTCATTCCCCAGAGCTGAGCTGAGCTGAAGCCAGGAGTTTCCTCAGGGTCCCCCACTTGGGGGCTGGGTTCCAAGGACTTGGGCCATTTGCTGCTGCTTTCCCAGACCAGAGAGCTGGATTGCAGGTGGAGCAGCCAGGACATGAACTGGTGCCCATATGCCATCACGCTTGCCTCTGAACAAATGAGTCTTTTAAACAGAGAGAAAGAGAAATGCTTCATGGCTGACAACTGATCTGCTGAAGTTGTCTGGTCTGGCATCAGTAAGAAGCCTTACTTGGCTCACCGGGCGCCAGGGATACAAACCCAAAATGACCTGGGAAACTTAATGTTTCTTTTGGCGTTGTACCTCTCTGTGTAATTCCTCACAGTTCTTCCTTGCACACAGGCTTCTCTCTCTGCTGACAGGTGGCAAATCCAGTCGTTAGACCTGGCAGCAACCAGGGGTCCCTAATGGATTGGGCTGTCTGAAGGAGGTACCGCTGGTACCCCTGTTTGGAACTTTCTGGCTGAGAGCCTGCTCACACAAGGAATCCGGAAGCTCAGTCCCAGCAAGAGAGTTGAAATCACCACTCATAGCGGTCTTGGCATGGGCAGGAGCCAAGGCAGCCTAGCCCGCCTCCAGGGCGCTTGTCGGCCTTGAAAGTGACCCTTACCAACCTCCTCGTGTGATCCATTGCCATCTTTTCGGATAAGGTGTGGGTTATTATGACGAAGCAATCCAGTCCCAAAAGTTGCCAACACCCAACTTTAATTTTTTCCTTTAAAGATTGATTTGTTTATCTGAAAGGCAAGGTTACTCAGAGAGAGAGGTAAGGTGTGCGTGGGAGGGAGATAGATCTTCCAGCTTCTGGTTCACTCCCCAAATAGCTGCAACGGCTGGGAGCTGGGCCAGTCCAATCCAGGGGCCTGGATCTTCTTCCAGGTTTCCCATGTGGAGCAGGAGCCCAAACACTTGGGCCATCTTCTGCTGCTTTTCTATGCATGCCGGAGTCCAGCTCCAGCTGAGTTCAGACCTCGCGTGGATGAGGCGCAAAGAGGAAAGAAAGGCGGACCACTAGGATTTCATGATCATAATGGACAATGCATGAAAGCTGTCTGGTTTATTTATACAAAATCAGTCAAACTCTGACTCAGATGTTTTACGTCAAGGTTAAGTTGGGATAATTCTGCCACTAGTTTTACCTAGAAACAATAAAAGTTCCTGCTACAATTCTTATCCTAAATTCAATCTTGTATCACAAAGGGGAATCTAAAGAATGAGGAAAGAATGAAAGCCTAAATATAGGTCCCTTGATTAGCATAAGGTCAATGGGGACAGCCAAGACAGCA